GCACTTATGTTATGGAACAACGACGGTACCACAAACATCCAGACTCGGGACAATACAGAAAAGTTTGTTTGTCTACATTGAGCCGGCCGGGGATCGAACCCGGGACCTCGGTGACGGCGACACCATGAAAACCGGTGTGCAAACTACTCGACGCTGTGGTCGTGATCGTCATTTTTCTAGGAAAGTTTTAGAAAAAACATTTTCAAAATATTTTGTAACCTTCTTGCGATTTTTATTCCTAAAGTGGAAATAACTAATAATTTATTGCTATCGAATTTTAGCATATCAGTCTTGAAAGTTTTAGGAGACAAAAGATGGCGCATTTAACTGTCTACTAATTGAGAACATCATTGACGAGACGGTTAAAAAGGCGCGTGGTGTAATTTGCTGCATACAGTTGGTGCAAGGAACTTGAGTCGACGCTATAACGCAATTAAGAGAAAGTGGCAATTAGAGTAAAGAGAAATGTGACTAATTGTTGGTGAAGGACGTGCGTCACCTTGAGTATTCTACTTTAAACATGAGAAAAAAACTACATTCGTTCGTGCAACATGAATGAGAGTAGTTGTTTTATTGATCATTTGCGAAGTAACATGAACATTTAAATATTTTTTGAAGATATGTCATAATTCTAGTACTACCAATTTACCGTTAATGGCACCAATTATATCATCAATAGTACCAACTACATTTAGTCACTTCGTTGTTCAGATATAATAATACACACTTTACTCTCCAGGTATAATCACAAATAAAAGAATGTAGCGTACTTATATAATATCAATCGAACTTCACTTTGCAATGTTTCCGGCTAATAGAAGAAATGATACCGAGAGGAAAAAGAAAAAAGTTTAATTTGTTTAGTTTGTCTATTTAAGACAAATTGGTTTCTGAAGTTAAATTGTCCTTATTCAACTACATTCGAAATTACTACCATCAATGGTACTAAATTGTACCACCAATGGTACCTAATGGTTGATGGTACAAGTGGCACAGATGGGAAAAAAAGTCTTACTCTTCCAAATTTACTTTTATAGCTAAATTGTCCTTATTCAACTCGCTTCGTAATTACTCAGACAAAAGTTCAAATTTGAAAGGATCTCGATTTTTTTTTCAAAACACTGCGTTAGAGACCTCCAAATGACCTTGGAAACGTGGAATTGATGGAACACGAGCCGCGAAACAAATGGAGGCTTCATTTTAATTGAATGTCATACGCAATCAATAGGCGTGAGATCGATCGGCGTTCTTTAAAGCTTAATTATGTTTATTCGAACCCATTTAATGGTTTCCTTAAACACGTTGGAAAGTTTAGGAGAAACGACAACACTTTATTTAAGTGTTTATTGCTTTTTAGTAGAAACGTAATTGCTACTACTGTCTTAGGGAATGATGACATCGGAATATAAAATGTTTTAAATGCTTGTTGCTGTTTCTCAGATTCAGTTCGGATCACATCGAATTAAAGTTGTAATAAGGTTTTTGTGTTTCGATAAGTTGAAATTCTTGTTATAAACTCTTTAGTGAAGCAATAAGAAAAACATAAAACAAGATGACGGCTTTGGTGCTATGAAACGAAGTTGAATTTTATTGTCTGTGACAATTATCAACGGATTAAAAATTCGAATGCGAAGATTCATCTACTAAAGGGAACAATTAGTTTAAATTTCGGTCGTTGCATCCCTTTTAAGAAATAAAAATCGGATGGTATCCAATTAACTTCAGTGACTGTGCAGTAAAACCGATCAAAAAGAACCAGGTGCTACCGAAGGAAAACTGCCTGGACCCGCCACTGTGGAACGAATGAGCCGTGTCAATCACTTTAATTAATCATTGAAGAAACTTCAATGGAAATTTCGTGATTCAATCCAGATATTTCTCACGAAAAGTTTTGAGGTGTTATGTATTAGAGGACTGAGTATTTAAGTAACGGGGATGTAGTCTGCTCACGGCCGTTTTACGGTCTAGACAGTCTGGGTATATCTAATGACATTGCGTCGGACATCTGATACAGTGCAGCTGACAACATAGGGATTTTGGGCTCCTGGTGTGTTCGTTTATCAACATAGACACGTAGTACCTTTATCACACGAATAAGTGCGATTGTGATTTTGGTTGTTATTGTTCTTGAAAAGTTCTTTTTGTTAGTTTGGGTTATAAAAACAACTTATATTTACCAATTGAGAACGTGACGTCATTATAACTCCATGAACTCGTGGTCACCTACTTTATTTAACAGTAGGCATACAGAATATACTGGGCAAAAACGATTGTAATCGTTACTTTCAGAATACTAAATATCCAGAAAAAACGGCGCTCTTCATCTGTTGACTACTGTAATGCTCAAAAGTCGTTGAAAAACTAAATATAAAGACTCGACTCGATAAGCACATGGAATAATTCGTGAGGTCCGCAGGTTCGTTCCAGGGCTTAGTTGGCATAGTGTCAGCCACGGAATGCGAAATGTCTAAGCGTTCTATCTTTGTATTAAAAATTATTATAAACTAGTGGAGTAATTTCAAATACAAAATAATTGAATATCAATTCAATAAAAATCTTAATACGTCAATACGACTTACGTAATTATTGTCGTAGTAATAGTATCAGTAGAGCTCCATGTGAAAGAGTTCGTCCAGGGAAGCACTGCCTTTACCTACTTCTGCCGCCAAGCAGTAATGTGAGCATTACTGCGTTCCAGTTTTACGGTGTCGGTGAAAAAGTCGGTGCGCGACTCGGTGGTAAGCGACACGCCTATCCATAACAGTTGCAGTGCCACTCGGAGCTTTAAATCGCAAACGTCTTGGGGTCAATGCCACTGCGCCCGTCACCCTGCGACCTTTCAAACCGGAACGCAGTAAAGCTCACGTTACTGCTTGGCCGCAGAAATAGGTAAGGTGGCAATACGTACCTGGACCTGGCCCTACTTCCTTGAACAACACATCGATACTTCGGAGAAGAAAAGGCGTAAAAGCCAAATTTTGCGATGAAAACAAATGAGAGAAAAACAATTTTTAATAAAAGTTTTGGTTCATATCCTTTTCAATTTTTATGACTGTGTTTACGTAAAAATGTCACTTTTTGTATGTGAAGAACAATTTTTCGACTTAACAGATTGAAATAGCTCGATAATTTAAACCAACTGTATTAATAGCTCTTATACTATTGGCTTTTACGCCATTTCTTCCCCGAATAATCGATATATCAGGTGTATCACGAACTGCAATGGTAATAGGTAGTACTTACTATTCATATGTCTCGTGATTGCCCTCTAACTAGCTGCCTACAGGTTGACTAGAGGTGTTAATTTATGGCTTATCTTGTCTTCGGAAGTTAGATATATGGAGATACCAAGGTACCTAAGAACCAAGTTCTTATTTAGCCCCATATATAGTTGCAATTATAGTGGTCTATTAAATGATTTGTATGAGCAAACTTAGGGTAAAAGTTATTTAACAATATCTTCAAAAGGCAGTAGATACAATGGGCTGATTTATAAATGGACTTCGAACAATGGTACCTGTTAACGCCGATAAATAAGACTAAATTTTTAGTGTCAATCCTACTTCGTTTATCGTATGACATGAGGGCGGAAAATATTTGGGCGGGAAAAGTTATTTGCAATCACAATGATTCAATACTAGGAAGATGAAATAGAATTCGATTGTAACAGGATATATAACATGGTCCTGTTCATAGGAAATAAAATATTCATAGAAATAATTATAACTTTTTTATATACAAAAAGTCCTTGAAAGTTCGTTATTTGCCAAGTTTTATTGAAATCGGTTAACGGAAAGTTCCACCCTTGGAGATGGAATATTTTCTTCAAATTTGAATGGGACCACTATTGACATACCCCCATTCAAACAAAAAATAATCATTGAAATCGGTTCACAATTTTTAGAGTAATTGCGAAACATACACAAAAATATAAAAATACAGTCTGATTGAGAACCTCTTACTTTTTATTCAAGTCGATTAAAAATGCTTAATTGAACTAAAAATTCCACGAAATAATTTCTGGTAGGAGTTTGTTTACTTTCAATTTCGCACACATTGTTGTTTTGTGCTTCTTTCTGGTGGGCGTTTGTTTGTTTATCTTACAATATCAAATATTTTCTCAACTTGTACGTAGGTACTAAAGGTACGTGCAAATAATTAGTACCTACTTACGAATACAATGTAAGCAATATGTAAGTAGCTTTAAACTATACAGACATAAACAAAACGAGTTAAAATTTCTTGTATAGGCATTCCTGCCTTGATGGTTGCATGTAGAACTAATCGGCATCCGTCATATGATACCACAAGGCCGGGTTCTAGGGTGATCGCCCCCATATGAATGTAGAACATAAAGATATTTGCAACGTGCTGTTGGCTGTATTAGTTTACTGCCTCTGTGGCCGAACCTTACTGAGCTGCCACATAGAGGTCCCGGGTTTGATTTTCGGGCCGGGAGAAATATTTGTATGGCCCGTATTTATCTATCTCGTAAGTTCGGGTGTGATTTGTGGTTGTCTATGTGTGTGTTCATGGCAGCCGCGATACAGAATTATCCTAGTGCGGGGCTATGAATGTATGCGTGCATTATATGCAGTCTGTACGAATTAAGTTCCAGCAGCACTCGAAGAAGTTCAGACAGCGTTTATAGAGTGGTGTTATTGCTATTAGATGTCGAAGAAAAACATAAAACGTTGTCATTAAGTTCAATAAAAATTTTAAAATCATATAAACAAAAAAGTTCGTACCCACCGAAATGTACATATATGTATATACTCGTATATAAAACGGTGGCTTGTTTTCGCGATTTGAGACGACTTCCCCTCAGTGATATTTGTTTCATGTTTTGAACACGCGTTCTGAGCGCTGTGAGCACGCGTTGAACGAAAAAAACAAAAGTTTCCACAAGATAACGTCCGAATTTGGTGCCTAATTACTACATGCGTTACATTTAATATCTTTCCAAGTTCTGTCCAAATTATATAAATAATACACGCAAACAATTAAAATTGTAAATTGTTTATTTGATAATCAACTTAGTTTTCGAATTAACATGACTGGGTCTCTCCACAACGTTAAAATAGCACTTATAATATTTTACACTAGTATCACAGATTTCATTGTTCATTATAGACAATTAAACATTAAATATAAACATTCTATTAACAGTTATTTTATACAAAGGCACTTTACAAAGCTTTTTTTATAAAATAAATTAATAATATTTGACGTTTCATGTAAACATGCATATCACAATCTAAATTAAAGGTTTGGAAGAATCGTATTTATAAAAAAAAGATGAATATGAACATATATATAGATGAATACGAAGAATATGAACATTCAAGTATTCTTTCTCAAAGATAGAATTTTTACGGAAATATGACAAATACTGGAAGTTCATGTAAACAAGTCTAAAATGTTTTGTGCGAATTCCAAACAGGTGCTATCTTGGACAAAACTCGAAGTGAGGGTAGAGGAAACAATGCAGCGAGAGGAACCTGTAACAAATAGAGGTATTTAGGAGCAATTCACGAAAGAGAAAATCAGACTTGGTTCATACACGCACTACGCTATTATTACAGACACAGAACATTAAATATAGTAGAAGTGCTCAATGGGCGTGGTGCGTGTGCCAACAGTACGCGGAGTTTCACATACTTGAGCTCAGACCGCCATTTTAGCTTTCTACGTTATCGGTCGTGTCAGTTATCTCACGTAAAACCTCAAAATTCGTTTTGGTTTGCAAAAATTATAGTCGCATATGTAATATATGAAATAATATATCACATGGTGATGTTGCATATCATCGTTCTGTCTTATTTTATTTATTTAAAAAAAATTATCTTTATTGTAATAGATTTTTTGTTATTAGAATACCTAACCGCTGCAATATGGTCGACTTTTTTTTTCGGGGAGCGTTATATGCGCTAGATGGCAGAACACTGAATAAAATTTCAATATAAAATCAAAACGTCGTAACTGGCAACATTGAACAGTAGGCAGTATTGAACTTTCAACGATATGCTGGGTAAAGTTTAAATTATATTAACAGCCCAGAATTTGTTACATCTTTTTAAATTAGAACCTACGACCAATCATTATCAAGATTTCATAGTGTTTGACATATATTTAGGATAGCGTGAGTTTTGGCGACAGCGGTTCTGATAGTAATCGAGGCTCATGGCACTTCAATTGATTTTTTCTTCCGTGATTTGGTCACTCCATACAAACGTAGCAGATTGGCTCATCGCGTGCCGTGTACGGGCGCACATATTGTCATAATCTCGCGATGCGTCGGCGTTGCAAAGCGCTGGTCGTCTCACGCGCCTTTCATTATTATGTGAATGTGTACGTCCGTACACGGCGCGCGGTGAGCGCTGCTACGTTTGTATGGAGTTACCATACGTGTTATATTATTCTATGATATCAGCCCACAAAAAATATTATACATACAACACACAATGAAATAAAGAAATCAGAAAAAGGCTTTGACTGTAAGTAACGTTACCAATCCAGACCAATAATGGGAAATGGACTAGCGCTTTAAACCCTCTCCTTGTAATAACGTAGCACCATATTTGGACTCAAATACGCTGTTCTAATAAATTCTTAATATCTAAATTTATGTGCACGAATTACTTTCACACACGACGATGTTTTCTGTGTAAGACGTTTTAAACCCTCGCACTCCAATCTCGTATAATCTTCACAACAGAAATTTCAAGAATTCATCCTTTGCAAGGCATTGTCTTGAAAGAGATAAAGGAAACGCGACAAATGGAGTGTCTTTTTGAACTGAAGTGCAATATATTTTATTTTCTTTGAAGGTTATTCTGTAAGCTTTAGTGCTAACAAGTTTGAGAAATTCAATTCAATTTTAAGTTCCTTTGAAATCGGGTATTGTCTTCAACATCTTCTGTACTCAGCGACTAAACAATATTGTCTTTTAAACAAGCTTATAAAGGCGATTAGGTTTTCAAAACTTATATAATCGAAGCTAAGCTATTGAATGGCAAAATACAAAAGACGGAATAATTGTTAGGGTTCTTTACAGATCCCATGATCACGGCTGACTGATATGGTAAAGACTATATAAAGAATAATAGCAAAAATCTAAGAACACGGGAATTACTGTAGATTAAAATGATTGCCTATTGTTTATTTTTCAAACAAACCAACATTACAGGATCTTTACAAGTCTCATGGTCACATCTTATTATATAAGAACACAATATGAGGTAGATGAATTACAAAATGGCAAAAGTAAGCAGATTATAAGTTTATATGTCACGGAATGTCCGAAAGGAGCAGATCATCGAAAGACCATGTCAATAAAGACTACTACTGAAAGAAAATATGGTGTAATAGTCCCCTCGTCCTGACCAAATGAACTTTTCCAAAGGGATTTAGTAATAAATATTTCAGGTGTAAACGTATAGTTTTGTCAGCTGTAAATTGTGTTTTAAGATTTTGATATAATGACTGAATTTTAAAAGTATGCTAATGTTTAAAGTATGGATTTAAACTAAAAAAAGAACATAACGGTCTTTAGAAGCACACATAGAAATAATCACGGGCACTTAGAGATTTTTTAATATTTGATCTGGTTCTGTTCATACGTATAAGATGTAAGTAAAGTTAAACTTACCTAGTAGGGTCGTACGTTTCGTCAAATCCAGGAACGTTGAGAACATTATTAGTTGAATAACCAAATGAGATCTGGTCTCGTAGAATCTTAAGTGGTAACAGTTTCATTTGCTCCAGGTGCGAATGGAACTCCCGCACCACTACCATGTTGACACCCAATAGATGTGCTGCAAGAAAAATAAAATGTCATAATGGCTCTGAAACCAACAAAAACAAAAAGGCTGATCTTTTAGTTTTTGATGAAGGATTTTGAAAAAAAAAATCATGAACACAGATGGCGTTACGCCAAAAAATGATTAAAAATAAAAAATAAATATCTTCAATAAGCACAGAAAAACTCGTAAGGTCTGGTGGTTTCCTACCGTAGCTCAGTTGAGAGAGCGTCTGGCACGGTATGCTTGAAGGCACTGGTTCGAATCCAGCCGGATCGAAAGAATTTTTCTTAGTGTTCGATCTTTGTATTAATAATTGTCAACTTATGTCTCAGCGTGACGGGCGCAGTGGCAGTGCTCCTTAGATCTTTGAGATTTAAAGCTCTGAGTGGCACTGTAACTTTTATGGACAGGCGTGTAGCTTACCATCAGGCGCACGACTTTTTCGTATTATAAAAAAAAATATAGCAAACTAGTAAAGTACTTCAAAAAAAAAATATGCTAGTAAAACATCGTGACATTCAATAAATTTCAAAATTACAAGAATTATAAAGTTTTTTAACTGCCGGTCATGGACTCCACCCTATTTCATACTTAAAATAATCGAGATAATACATTCGAAGTTAAATTTTCACATAGTATTTGTTTCGAAAAATGGGTAAACAAAGTTTAAATTATCGAATGAAGTTTGTACGTACAATGCATGTAATGCATCTCAAATTAACGGTGCATAAATTGAAGCAATGTGATCAAGTTAATAAAGAACTTACATATCAAATATCCCATAGTGATGTCATCTGGAAGTTTTATCGAGTTACACATACTTATAAACTTTCCTCCGCTGAAACAAAATATTCTCGATTAAACTAAATATTATTATACTCTTAAAACCGGTTATTATTATTATTTCGTGCCCTTTGTATAATACATAATCTCAGTAGAGAGTACTAAAAAAACCGACCTCAAAAGTTTGTGGAATTACATCTATTTGCCAAGTTTTATTATAATCGGTTACCGGAAAGTTCGCGAAACCAGATCCATTCCCTAATTTGACACCCTTAGAGATGAAATATTTTCTTGAAATTTAAATGAGACCACTACTAAGGTGCCCTCTTTCCAACAAAAAAGAATCATCAAAATCGATTCTCAAATGCCGAAGTTATCGCGTAACATACATAAAAAAAATACTTTCAAATTGAGAACCTTCTCCGTTTTTTGAAGTCGGTTAAAAATCACATGTGATCATACGTCAAAAGTGCTTTTATTGCATAAAATAAAACAAAATACATGAAAAAAATTATGTATATGGAAAACTTTATAACTCGTTTATTTAAGCATAAAAATATTATCGACAAGTTTAGAATTTTTAAACCTCTTTTCTGAAAAGTTGTCTTTTTGCAATTATAGTCTTATTACACCAAAGGTGCGATATATTACATTATCAACATTATATACATACCTTGCAAGAGGCACCATTTTTAGAGCCAAACTCTTGCTTATGCAAACCCCAGCACCAAATGTACCGAACCATAGTGATCCTTTCAGTGAAGGCTAAAATAAAAAAAGATACTTATTAATGACATTAAAAGTCAAAATTATGATTTTTCAAGCATGTATTTAAAACATTCTACACGAGCAGCCTACGGGTCAGCTTTACTCAGAAGGCCTATGGTCTGTCTTTTTTTGAAGATGGAGTAAAATGATTGCGCAAAAGTGTTGCCCGCTTGCAAGGAGTAAGTGATTGCAGTCGATAAACATTCTATCGACTATCGACTGAATGTTGGTTACGCTTATGCAATATATAATCGAACTTGTTTCATTTGAATCATCATCGGCTCTTTATTCGTTCCACTTCTGGGCCCTGTGCCCACTATGTCTATAAAAAACATAAAGAGAAGACATATTTTAAAGATTTTCATATTAATTCAATATAGATTCTGTGATTAATGATTATTGAAATGTATATGAGTAAAAATTAATTTCGATACTAGTAGGTCTATTGTCAAAATTAATGAAGAAGGCAATAACGCAATTAGTAGTCACCAGAATGTCGTAACATTCACAATTCAGGCATTTTTGACAAAATGTTACCTTCTCAATCTACTATCGATAGAACTGTCGACAACAACTACATGACTATTTAAAATTTTACGAAAACTGGCAACCTTGCAAATATCATTTTACACCGTCTTCAAAAAAGACATACTGTACTCTACTGAACTCCCTACGCATTTTGTGTAATATCGTGTTCAGAGCTCAGTTTTGGTCTTCCTCGCTTGTGTCGGGCATGTTTGCCGGCGCTAGTGAAGAGGATCTTTACGCCCTCAAACGTAAAAGATGCGGAGTCACTAAGTTCAAGTCAAGTAAGTTTCATTCGTGTAATAATGAAGACTATCTAATAATAATAATAATTGTTTGCCAGACATCCACACCAATTACCTGGTTTCAAACTAGGGAGTTCCCTGTACCCTGCCTGTTTGAAATTGAAAGACTACACGTGCAAGTACTCACTTTTTTCTTTGTTTCCTTCGGTAATATAAACAGTGTGACAGGTTTATCCACGGAAATACGACCCAGATACCAATCTTCCTGAGGGTCGAACTCTTGAAGCTTTGTTAACAGCCTTGGTACATTTACATAGTTGTCGTCATCGAAATGACACCACCATCTGTGGGCAATAGAAAGATAATTAGGAAAGACGGGACTTAAAAATACTGTCTATGTGTAGGCACTAAATACTAGATAACAGCTTCGGTATGGCGGCGTTAAATAACTGTCTGTAAAATTCCAACACTAAGGCAACTTACTGCAATGCAATGTTCGAAAGCTTAAAAAAAGCAAACAAATTTTAACGGTTCTGTTCAAACGAGCGCTTTTAATAAAACTTAAAAGTTATCAGCAGCTGCATAATATGACGATACCAGAAAAACAACCAACAAGTATTTAAGGACCATAATTGCAAAATTGTATCGGGTGTTGGCAAGTCTGTAGGTATGTTTTAAAGATTTGTTGCGGGTACCGAATAATTACTGCTGCGGTATAATTTGCCGGCATTACGATCGGCGCAAATAACAGGAGCCGACATCAGGGCTGCGTCTGCGCAATACATGTACATAATACGTAAAACAACCGTACGACAAATGACTTTGAAACGCAAGTTATAATCTAGATCGGGTTTCTGCATATCGAGTTAGCGTTTGCGAAAGCTGTGCACTTACATCGGACAGTTGGTTAATTGATGCTAATTCATATTATTTATGACTGTAGTTAATGTATTCTGTTATTACGGTGGCTGTATTATAGTTGACTGTCGGTTCTGTCACAGCCATTCGATTTATAGGGACTATAAATATGCTATTGAGATCGGACACTTTCAGATCTGAGACATCATTATTATAGGGAAATAATAAAGGATCCGAAAAACAAATAAATTGTAGCTAAGATTAATTGTAATAGTAAATGAGCTTAAAACGAGTGACTGAAAAATAAACAGAATGAAAAAATTAAAATGAAAAATGGTTTTTTTTTTCAGACAGTACAGTATGTCCATACATTTTTTTTTATAATATGTGACGGGACGAACTAGTCGTGCGCCTGATGGTAAGCTACACGCCTGTCCACAACAGTCGCAATACCACTAAGAGCTTTAAATCGCAAAGATAGAGAGATAGATAACTGCGCCCGTTACCCTGAGACATAAGTTGAGAAGTCTTATGTGCCTGTAATCTCACCAGCAGGTCGATTCAGAACCTTACGATAACTCTGTTGTCGACTGATTCGATTAGATATCGTACGATTTCTTTTAATTTTTATTCATAATAATCGAATCGAACGTCAAACTGTCGTATTCGAAACGGAACGGTGACGTCACTCCCGTACGATTACTCGTACTTCTCGACCGGCAAAGGTTGCAAACGTTATTCAGAACACAGTTATCGAATGAAAGTTACCGAACGTCCTATTGTTCACAAAGCAAGAATGTAATACAGAAATCTTTTATTATTTTAAATAAAATCTGGATTTTGTTCAATTTTAATTATTTATTTTAATGCGATACTAATGAATTCCTATATTTTAGGCTTTTAAAGTCTTAAAAATGTATAAAAAAGGATTTTCATTTTTCTTATAATCTATTTCACCGACTAACTCCGTAAACGCTATTGGATAACGATATCGTATCCCAATCCGAATCGAACGTTAAACGTCGGGAATGTTCTGAATAGCTCGGAAAGCGCCCTTCGATTCGAGAACGATATCCAATCGCACGATTCGGTTAAAATATCGAATCTGAATCGGGGGGCAGTACCCTTACCCTTCACAAATGGAATACAGTAATGTTGACATTACTGCTTGGCAGTAGAAATAGGTAAGGTGGCAGTACTACCCTGGACGACTCTTTCACAAGGAGCTCTACTGCTACTAAACTACTTACAACTATGTTAGTAGAATGAAAATGTTTATTTTCATGGACAAGGATGGACATCCAATACTTAATGATTGGGCTAAAATATATCGACAAAATCAATAATATTTAGCCCGATTTTCGTCAGCTAGATTTTTCGGAGCTTTCTGTATTTCATTCGGTTGTTTCTGCATTCTTATTTGCACTAAAGTTTTCGGTAGCTTAGTAAATAACGCAGTAATATTCATATTTTGAATAAATTCATTTTTAAATTACTTTTCGGAACTTTTATTACTATCCATTATTATAGGTGTAAAGTCATTTAATATGAACACAAGTAGTCGCCATTTTTAAGAATATGCAATGCACGAACCAATGAATAAAGAATACACACTAGGCTATAAACAAGGTCTTAAGAAATAGTCTTAAAATGTCCATAGAAAAATTATTTATGATTTGGCAAGAGAGAGAGAGAGAGTCATGAAATATCCGTTAAAGTCACTGTTTGGGAGGTCATAAATTGCAAGGAAGGAATTAACTCTAGACAAGACCCTTTTGAGTGCTAGTGTTGAATCCCAATTCTTATCTCCAGTGCCCACACAATGAGTTATTAGGTGTGATAGCTTATTACTATAGAACCTTTGTGGAGAAGAATATTAACGAAAACTTTCATCATTTAAATTGTTTTTGTAATTCTGAAAAATGGAATGACAGTGTACTGGAAGTAGCTGGAGAAGATACAGTAAATGATAAGGAATAATAAAAGGAGAAGTAAGATGTATTTGCAGAAGATCATTTTGAACGAAGATAGTTTTTTATCGAGAATTGTAAAAGCACATAAGAATTCTATTTAACATAATGTATTTAAAATCATATCTATTCACATTTATAAACCTAACAATACTGCCTTCGTAACGAAAAAAGGTACAACTACGCGTACTTTATACAGCAGTTGTGCCTTTTTCGTTCTGAAGGCACAATAGCAGTTATATATTTTTTTATTATAACAGTGACATAATTATTGCGGTATTAAAAAATTATATATATTATTAAAGGATCTTAATCTCACTTGGTTAGATTTTATAGAAACCTTTATAGCAAAATCTGTGTATAATAGTGAGAGTCAGGTTGCACACTTGGGCATCATTTATCATAGCATAAACGGTTGTGTTTAGTTTTGAAAATATTGTCGTTATCTCTTAATACTTGTTTATGACCTTGATGGCCCAACGGTTTACAATGTCGGCGTTGTCGGGGGTTCCCGGTAGGATCAATTTTGACAACTTTATGAATAGGTCCTGGTTTGAGTGCTTCTAAGCAGTGTCCCGTATAGAATTTCGCTGCTCTGATGTTCTTAATATTGGAAATTTCCTAGTTTGAGACCAGGTAATTGGTTCTTAATGTCGATGTTAATATTTAGTTCCGTTTTTATTATATTATTGGGATTGCTTAGACAATGGTCATCATTAGTGAATGGTTATCATTGTAATGAATGACTTTTTACAAATGGTTTACTTTTATCATTTTTTATCAATGGTATACTATCATGTCAGTTCCTTTTATTAATGAAACAGACTTAAAAGTATTACATCAAAACTTGCTACAACACCTTACAAGCATAATCTCAGTACAGAGTACTAAAAAACCGACCTCAAAAGCACGTGGAATTACATCTATTTGCCAAGTTTTATTGAAATCGGTTACTGGAAAGTGCTTAAACCTGGATTCATCCCCTAGTTCGCTACTACACGGAACTTGACACAGGAAATAATAAAAATCGGTTCTCACTACTAAAAGTATATTGAGAGAAAAACGCCTTGAATTGGAGAATAGCAAAATCAACCATTAAAATAATTGCTACTTATAATAAAATTTAGGCGCTATGAATAAAAATGAATCTTTATGCGTGAACAGCTACCCTTACCCTTAGCTAGCCTTGGAGGTGGATGATTTTCTTCAAAATTAAATGGCCATTTGACCTCGCTACAAAATAAACGAGGCTTTCAATCAGTTTCACGTATCTACATCAATACTACTGCAAGAATGGGATACATCCAAAGGCGCCGCATCAGTCGGCCTTTATTGCTAAGGTCATTCTTTCGTTTTATGGACGAATAGATGCGTGGGCCTACGAAATTAATGGGCCCGAAGACTGTGCCTTGAGGGACACGCGCTCAAAACGTAACATTGAATTGAATTGAATCTAAAGACATATTGGATACGAATATTTATAATGAAGGCTTTGAATTAACGAATATTGTACACATAAAATACGTGCAGCAGTAACTCAGTCACCGATTAGTTGGGGTATTATATATTTTAGTTCCATTATGTTCAAACGATCAAAGGCAACGGTTGGTTTTGTTTAACTTGCAAGCGGAAATGTGTTATTAAATTTCACATTTTGATATTTGATTGAGAGAGTCAGCTAACAGAACTTTCATTTGCGGAATTGGGTATAATTTATGGAATAAAATTCTTTTACTAGAAATAATATTCGAATTCCTAATATTCTTTTGCATCTTTTAAATTACTTTTAAGTAAAGAAAAGAAATAAGGAACTGTAGACAAAAATATTCCCAGTATAACTAATAATAACTAAACGAACAGTGTGGGAAAAACAATAAACAACAAAAACCAATCGAAGGAGCCCTGTGTAAACGCGTGAAAATTACTGTGAGCCCAAAATAATATTGAAGTTGCTCTTCAAAAACCATTAACGTTGTTGTATGTATTTGAATACCGAACTCGTCCCTGTCCACAGCTTAAAAAACGTTTAGAACCAAATAAAATAATTAAAGGTCCTCATATTTCCCTTCGGCCTTCTGTCCGAGGATTGCTGTGTAAATGTTACCACATAAAAGCGATTAATGCTCGAAAAGATGATCAATAGTTTCCTTTTGATGGCGCGGACGTAGTTGTTCTGCACAGATGTTCACTTAATCATTTTTTGCAAGAAATAATTGCTTCGTAATTAAATACATAAGGTGTGTTTAAAACTTTTACGACTTCGTAAGGTGTTATTCATCAAAGTGAACCATAGGTAAGTGACATCAGCTTTAATTTTCGTGGAGACATAGTACGGTCATTAAAGAAGTCAAACAAAGCAATCAACCAATGTTTATGGAGACATGCTTCTAAAAACAGAAGTTAAGAGCATCATGTTTTTACTAAAAACAAAAACGTTTTCAAACTTAGGAAACTTACCGGCTCATTTTAAATTTCGGATCATTAAAGTCAATACTTTCTTTAAATAGCTGTATTTTTTTCATCTTTGACTTTCTGCCGCCTCAGTTTGTGTAGTAAGATAGCTCGAATTCAAATTATTCCAGTACTAATACGGTTCATTTTTGCTTGAGTCGAGCAGCAGGGACAAGGGTTTTACTTCTGAATTAATTTTTTACAAACGAAATTAAACCCATTTGAAAAATATATATCGTAAAGTTACGTGTTCCATTTAGTTTAATGATATAAATAAAAAAAACATTGGTATATGTAAAATACATATTGAATACAGCCGTTTTCTTGTAAAATTTCGAGGTAGGTTTGTGTTTTTTTTATATCATGAAAGTTATTAGGACTCGTGTTTTTGCACAGCATAATAATCAGTATATATCCTCAATTTTACTATATTTTTTTTTTCCAAAGTGATTGGTTCACCACTTTCACTGTTATGCGGGATCAACCAAAGCCATTTAAGATAGTATAGACTCTTAATAATTTAAATTTCTCAATTATAGTATACTTAACCACATTAATTTCAAAAAACAAAAAACAATGAGTATCATGGTAGTAAAACGTGAAACTAAATTATATATTAATTGAGGGAGAATTCAACAATAAACTTAATATTAAAAAATTGGTCTAAATCAAGGAAGAAGAATATCACCTTACATATTTCTGCCGCTAAGTAGTAATTATTGAGTGAGCATTACTGCATTCCAGTTTTGAAGGGTAAGGGTGCTTGTGAAATTACAGGCACATGGAACTTGTCAACTTACGTCTCAGGGTGATAGGCCCAGTGGCAGTGCCCCTCAGATCTCTGCGATTTAAAGCTGAATAAGGCACTGCATCTGTTATGGGCAGGCGTGTAGTTTAACCACCAGGCATACGACTTGTTCGTCCCGTCACAAAAAACCATAAACTAAAAGAAATCCTCAGTTCCGTTGAGAGCTAGACAGCTCAGATGAAGACTCATCCATCCATATTATTATCGTTTGATTTATCACGCATTCACTGTCTGCACAGTATCACTGAGCATGTATATTATATATAAATATATATCTCTAATTGTTGTTAATTGTAGCCCAGGGATTCCGTCAGTTATAATTACAAGATTGATTAATAACATATATGATTCATTATATGAACAGTGTACAAATTTTGTTTTGATTGCGTTATAATTGCTCAGATTGTCGTGTAGAGCTAAAGTTTTGGATTGAAACTATCTATAGTAATTTTGTACGTGAGCATTGTCAATCAAATTGTGGGGGTAATTGTTGTGTTCGATTTTGACCTTTAAGCTTTCGAAATCTATAATGCGTCCATTATTACGTACAATATTGATGGGGCTTCAATTTGAAGTGAAAATTTTTGTTTAAAATTTGTACGTGTCATCAGCTTTCACAAATTATCTTCGTAGTAATTGTATAGGAACAACTTATACAGAAACTGTTTTGATTTTGTAAAAGTTTAAGTTTTAATTTAAATATGTTACATATTTCTTGTTTTAGGTTTACTTGGAAATAAAAGTATTTTTTCGGATTCAAATCGCGTATATTTGTTTTTTCAAACAAACCAGTCAGCCGTGACCATGTCCCTGAAAAGAGTCTGAAATGGCTGGTTTGAAAAAAAAAATACATTACATATATTTACATAAATACATATGTAGTCATTAGGTTTAATTTTTCAAATATAGCTTTTTAAGTTCGCATTGCTTTACTGCATATAATATTTAGGACAATGATGCTAAAACCCCAGTCCAAAGTATAATTAAAATATGTCAGACAACTAGGGAATTCCCTGTATTATGAGCAACAGAATTCACTCCGGGATATTTTTTTTATAATACCAAGTGACAGGGCGAACAAGTCAGTGCACGACTTGGTGGCAAGCGACACGCCAGTCCATAGCAGATGCAGTGCCACCTGAGCTTTAAATCACATAGATCAGAAACGCACTGCCACTGTGCCCAGAAATACAAATTGACAAGACCAATGTTCCTGTGATTTCACCAAAATCTATCTATCTAGAACATCCCGACATTAATTTCTTAAATTTTCTCCTTATCCAGCTCCCACAGCGCAAACCATTGGGCGAAAGACGTCGTCTATTATAAATTATGTTTGTTTAGTATTATGCAGTAGATAGATAATTTTATAATCTTGCAATGATGAAACAGAGATACTTACTTTTTACCACTTTGCAAAAACCAGTCATATTCTACTGAGGTCTTACAACAAAGGTGTGCTCGTTGATGCGTATCCGAACAGTTGGTGTTTATCAGGTGGCCATCTAAAAAAAAAATATACATATAACACAAATTGGTCTATAGGTATCCGACGATCGTAGATGGTGATTATTAATATGTATTAATTTCTATTAAAGATATAAGTCCACGATCAGTTCGTCATCCTGCCCACTCTAACCTACGCTACGGTACATAGACATGCTCGCTGACCGAGTTTCAGAAATCTAAACTCAAGATCTGCCAGAGGGCGATGGAACGCAGCGTTTTGGGTTTTTAACGTATTGACCGAGTACGCAATACAATGCTGCGTTCGATGACTGGCATTGCTGATGTCAGAAGCAAAACAGGCAGCCGCAAGTGGGATTGGGCGAACGTCGTCACTCCTTGACCGACTCGACTTGACTCGACCTTTGTGAGAGGGAGTGGGAGATCACCAAAGACAGGGAGCAATGGAGGATATTGGGGGAGACCTTTGCCTAGCAGAGGGACATAATAGGTTAATAGAAAATTCCAAATGAGGTTTCTTATTTCCTTTTTAATCTGTTTAGTCCCTTAGGGCAAAGGTTACGAAGTCTCGCTTTCTCGGCTCCTTAGGATCTTGACGTTATTTAGATCAATTTTTAGAACCATTTATGTGGTCTGCGTCAAGCCCGTTACCTTTACCCATATGCTGGCATGTCTACCCAGCTACAGTCAACAAAAATACTAGCTGATCATAGCAAAAACAAATCTTAAAAAAATAACAAAAAAATATGAAATATAAATCTACTAAAATCATATTTATTTAGATTAAGAGACTTCTTATCACGAAAATAGCAAAGCCTAATCTTAATTATAGAAAAATGAAACAAAAAAATTAGAACTGAAAATCAGCGTTACAACAGTCGAGCTGTGACGTATGCTGAGTGGAATTTTAATTTCTCATTTCTGCTGCATAGAAACATTTATTCGGTACAGATTATTATAATATTATAATCAATGCAATATAACGGCCTCTGTGGCCAAACGGTTACTTTGCCGGACTGTCATGTAAAGCTCCCAGGTTTGATTCCGAGAATCCGGGAAATTTCTGAAATATTTGTATGGCCTACATTTATTGCTGTCGTGAGTTTGGGTGTAATTTGTGGTTGTCTATGTGTGTGTCCATGGCACTCGCGACACAGGGTTTCCCTAGTGCGGGGCTATGTTGAGTGTGTACGTTCGTTCTTTTCTTTTTAAAATTAGTAAAAAAATTAGAATATATTTCATATCCTACTAAAATTCATATTTATTTACATTAAATAACGACAATATATAATAAATAATAAAGACATTTGCTCGCGAAAATTTGTAGATTATCTACGAAGTTCGTGTATTTATTTTTTTAATTTTTTTTTGACTATTGTGTATTATATTGCATATCATACAAATTGGTAAAACTGTTTTCTACTTACTTGTTAGCTTTTTTAAGGTATCGTTGTCTCCGTCGGTGAAAAACCATGTCTGGAACAAAATAAAGTGGTTTGTCAAAATGTAACACGATACTTTTTAATAGTTTTATTATTTTAGATAATCTTTTTACTCATTGTTTCTGATTCTCTTAAATACACACACTCACGCACACGCACACGCACATGCACACGCGCACCTGCACGCGCACGCGCACGCGCTCACGCACACACACACACACACACACCCACACATTGTTTAGCTATTTATAAGGCTACTTTAATTGGCTAAAGCTTATATTATCAGTGGAGTAAGGCGCTGTAAGCTAAGATAGCTAGTTCGACTGCAGATGTTTACATAAATTGCAATGTACATACAATTTTCCCTTAGCCTTATTATTATGATTGATTATTTTGTATACAGTACATTATTATTTAAGGCAGATAAACATTATTATTATTATACCTAATAAAATGTCAATAAACTTTTTGTGTACCTAAACTGATATGTCTATTATTAAACGTAAGTTATTAAGAACGAATATAATTTGATGACTGTTGTGTAAATAAGTACCTACTTATAAACATTTTTAATGTGAAAATAAACATTAGCAATTCAAAAGTAAGGTAGAAAAATATTGTAATCCCAAATCAGTACTTCAGAGTTCGCGTATAATAATTGGTTGATAATAGCGATATTGTTCATAAAAATGGAGCTGAGTGTCGAACAAACAACTCCTGAGGATTATTGAAACACGTGTCTGGTATATTTTTGGTGGTGGCGTCTGTGACTGTAGTTGCGCTTGTGTAATTTTATGTTAAAAAATCATTGCTCCCCGAATAGACTTACGCCGAGAATAGGAATACTAACGTATACTAACGATAAACTCTGACGACTAGTTTAGGTGATTTCTGGGTCCCGTTTAGGGGGTGTTTCCATGGGGTTCGTGGAGTAGCATTTCCAGCACTTCCATTTTAATTAACATAGATTTCCACAAAGTAACGTCTGAATCCATTATTGATCTTGGTAGGTCAATGCCTGAATATATTAATTACGATATTGATCATTCAACTTAAAGAACAAGCAATATTCAACATCATTACTAAAAAGCAGGCTTCGAAATTACCAAGATATTTTTTTTCTTTGATAATTATTATGATAGGAAATTATCTGTTAATTTTCCGGGAATTGTTCATGCTGATGCATAGTTTTGTCTCTTTAGTTTTTTACTTAAAATGACAAACAGTGAGAAAACTAAATAAACACGAAGATAAATCTATGGGAGAATGATTTGGTTTGTGACTTTTTTTGAGATTGGCATTTGAGACGCTCTAATACGCCTCTGATACAAACATATGGCACAACACTGTTAGTGGTGTAATTTTGTTCTTCTAATAAATTTTAATTAAGATCATTGTCAAGAAATATTTATTAAGATAATTATCATTGATAATTATTATTCGAAGTAATAGTTATCAATGATAATTGAAACCCTGTTAAAAGTTAAATAAGTCCTCATGAATGACGGTAGTCCTGAATTCGTGAGCAAACCCAATAAGACGTGTGTTATTTTTCCTCAATTGTTGAAATTTGTTTTACCCAAATTTCATAATTGACTGTAAAATAAAAAATATTTGCTATTAGGTTTGGCGTATCCGGACCACGACCACGTTTGTTTAATAAAATACTAAGGAAACACATAAGTCTATCGGTATCTCGGTTTGTATTTGGGGCGAAAGAGCCGCAATCTCAAGTCTGTTGACAGAACACACCCGAGCAATACCTGGCACAGTAAACACTACACATTGATACAAAAACGCGAACGGGCCGTTGAAGAAACGACCTTCAAGGTTAAAATAGGGACAAAAAATAAATAAAGATAAACGCGAGAACAGATGGCGTTGATGTTGTTTTATATACATATATAGTATTGTTCTACATCACACATTTTTTGTGCATCTAAACACAATAAATCTGGATTTACTTGTGGGTTACCGTAATGGTTGTTCAAATTATAGGTATAAGGATTTTAATGTGAAAATAATATTTAAGTTCTTTTTTGTTGAAAATTAAGTTCATCTTTTCTATCTTATCTAAAATACTCGTAAGACTGAAAATTTGTCGCTGATTATACTATAGAAATTCATAATGAACAATTAGCTCTTCCAGCCGAAAATTATTTCCAAAGCCAGCTTTGTAAACAGCATTAGACACACCTCGGTTTGTTCGCGGCATATTTGGCAAAGGAGGTGTTTTGGTAACACGTGTAGCGCGATAAGAGAAATTCGATTCCAGTAAAGCCTTACCCGGTTTAGCTTAAGATTATTAGAGTGATATTTTGATTATAATATTATCGTATGCAATAAATTGCATTATAGTAAGGTGGGGTAAGAGGAACATACTTAATTTCGAGTCAAATGTTTTGAGCTTTAGGAAAAACAGATAGTCTTATAAGAATTTTGAACTACTAAACTTATAAACTCAATATTTACGATATATTTACCGAAAATGTGCAAATTAGTTTGCATGCACATTTTGGGGGGAAGAAATGAGATAAGGGCAACAGTCATTGTATTTCTTATAAATGTAATGTAATACGTAGTCTTCTAGAGATTTCACAATGTCTTATTTGTTTTTGCCGCCTTTTGTATTTGGGGATAATCGCAGCGACGGTAACTTATCACGAAATCGACAATTTTTTGTCCGTAATAACGTTTGCTTGAATTTTCATTACACCGAAACCCGAATAATAACAAAACAGTTGGTCTTTCAGGATATGTTGAATGTTTATCGCAAAGATAGGATTAGGTTCGACTAGGTTAGGTTAAGTTGATGGTACCCCCCCGAAGGGGTTCCCGCCTTGTCGTGGCGGGGGGGCTCTAGTAGCTGTGGTCGATTTCATCCCACGGTGAAGCTAAGAGGAACCCACGGGGCCGGCCAATGGTGGTAGGCTGGCCCGAGGAGGAGGGCGTTCCGCGCGGGGCTCGTATGGTCAGCAGGACCGCGCGGACGCGCGAGGAGGAGGGTCGCGGGGGGAGAGACGTGTCGGTGTGTCGTTGCCGCTCGTCCTGTCCTCCGCGACCCTGGCGGGGCTGCACCGCTTTCGACGATGCAGTGGCGGCGGGGCCGCGGGGAAAGAGATGTGTCGGTGTGTCGTTGCCGCTCGTCCTATCCTCCGCGGCCGAATGTGGGCGGTTGGCCCGTGGTGGGCGCTCCAAGGGACTCTCTTCGGAGAGTCCGCGCAGAAGCGCGTTAGGTGTTGCGGCGGAGCCTGTCATCAGATCCGCCGCGGGGGCTGGGGGAGCAGCCACTGAACTTTACAGTTGAGTGAATGCTGTTGGCCCCCCATGGCCCCTGAGTAGCGGACTCGGGGGAGTTCGCTGCCCAGTATAAAGGGGCCCGGGATGGAAGGCTCGTCTGGTGTTCGGCGAGCCTCACATTCGGAGTCGGGGGACCGATGTGTCTCCCTTCTCGGGGAGGGGCTGCGCAGGGCGCGGCCAGCCGCTGGTGGGGGCGCAGACGAGTGCAACAGCGTACCCGTACCCCCACCTACAGCGGAGAGGAGAAACACTCCGGGGGTTTAGTGCGGTCGGGCTGCTCCCCTTCAGGGTTCAGCCCAGTCCCACATAACCCCGGCTCTGCCCCCGCGGGGCCGGGGTATCTGTAAGCAGATTCCCCCGGATTAACAAAAAAAAAAAGTTGATGGTGGGACGAGACCTCTCACTGCCCAGCATAGTTAAAGCCATGTTGGGAAGCGAGAGGTCATGGCAGGCGATGGTCTCCTTCTGCGAGGACGTTTTGTCGCAGAAGGAGACAGCCGAACGGGTCCGCGAAGACAGCGCCCTCTCGGACCCCAGACCCTGCCCCTGCATTGCACAGTCCTCCGCCGCCGGTAGATGCCCTAAATGTTCCAGGGCATCTCCGTGCAGGTAGCCCCCCATGATTAAGGGGGGATGGTGTAGGGGTCCGCCCAAAGGCGGACCAGCACCACCGGAGTAGCGGTAGCATCTGAAATCCCTTTCAGATCCCTTTCGGCTCCGGCGCCAGGTGCGCGCAGGAACATCGTGAGGTTTTTAGTGGGTATGCTCTTGGGGATCGACATAGTCTGAATATGTAGAATGCGTAACGCATTTTCCTCACGGTAATAAAAAAAAAGGTTAGGTTAAGTTAGGTTTAAAAGAAAAAACATTTTCCTCTCAAAATTACTTTCGAGGTTATGAAATTACGACCAAACGTTAATTCTGGAAAATGTCATTTCGGACATTGACAGTAGCTTCGTGTTAAATATCGAGTTCTTAGGTTTTCGCGATTGTTATACATGTCATGCGAGCATGTCATGGATAAACCTACACATTCAATGAAGTTTGACAAACCCCAGGTCCTTGCAAAAGAAGTCCGTTATCTGCCCAGGATGCTGCGAGAGGCCATTGAAATTAAAAAACATCCTAATTTCAACAGGGAAGATGGTTTCTCCGTACCACCAGTTTGGGATCCAGTATTTCCTCTAATGAAAAATCCCAGACAGACATAAGACTGCAGTACTAATTAATATGTTTTAGTTTATTCTAATTTCTATTAATAATTAATAATAAATTGAACTTAATAAAAAATTCATTCAATAAAATAATTTGTAAAACTTAATGTAGCGTAAATTGGAATGTTTTCTTTGTAAAATTAAAAATAAGGTATTTAATTAATAACTATTGTAACTATAGTGAAAAAATAGGGTGGTTTGCATCAATATTAGACATAACTGGTTGAAGACTGTACGGTGGTACAGTCTTCAACCAGTTATGTCTAATATTGATCAGTCAACCGTGACCATGGGACCTGTAAAGGGCCCGAAACGTCGGTTTGTTTGAAAAAACAAATATACGCGATTTAAATCCGGAAAAATAGTTTCGTGTTAAATGTTATAACATTTCACACGTACGGTTAGGTGGAGTAAGAGGAGGACCGGGGAAAGAGGGTAACTCATAATCTAATGAACATAACAAAATAGTACAATATCTCACTAGCAACCCGTGGCGACATCTCTTTAAAATCGTTTAAAC